CTGCCCCACTGACCTTCCCCTGAAGTGTCTTTCAATTTTAAGGTACCAACATCACCCTAGGTCATCCAAGCATGACATATTATTGATGGGGATCAACATGAGAACTAACAACATAGTATACTATGAAGTGCTCCGAAAAGCACAAATATTGAAACACCATTAGCTCATGTTTTTCTTTTTAACGCAACTGAAGACAAAATAACATTCAATGTACATGAAATAGGCAGTGTAAAAAAAAACAGTAATTCTCAAGATCTAGAAAATTTTATCTAAGCTTTTAACATGAAATTTGAATTTGCAAAAAATTTTGACTTGTGCTTACACTGTGAAAACTTCTTTCCTGACACCAGCTCACACCATCCCTACCTCCCATCCCCACACGATTTAATCAAAGTTATGTTCTCCCAAGCAACTGATCGAAAGCAGTTTGTAATACGATAATGTGCCCTATGTTAAACAAATGTTCTATGGTTTGCCTAACAGTTCAACATGTAAAGGCTAATGGTTATACACTTAATAATATTTCAATCTTATCAGTAAAAGTTCAAAGTATTAGAACAATTGATGCTGGACACTGAGCAAGTGCTGTCTGATAACCCAGAGTCTTGTCTTCATCTCAAGGAAGAATTCAAGAACAAGTTAGACAATCACAAGCAGCAAATATTTTATAGGGAAAGTATATACTCCACAATCAGAGTGAAGGCTCACTTAGCAGGAAATGCTCTGAACTGTGCGGAACTCTATCAGGGTTGTTTAATGAAAGGGGAGGTACATTCTAATAAAGAGAAGGAACATTCTTTTTGGGAAGTAGATTAGATTTCCCAGAATCTACCTATTGCCCCTTCTTGCTCCTTACACGGTCTGATGTTACCTGTAATTGTGCCTTGTAGGTATGTCATTTAGCATACTAATGTAATGCAAGAAGAATACAGTAAGTTAGACGTGGCCCCTACACTGATATAAATGTGGTCCAGACAAGGAAGCTGTCTTCAGAGCTAGAGTAACCAAATTCATATTCTATAGGCCTGGAGATAATGGGAACTACTGCCAGGTGGCTCCACTGCTCCCCCTGCCTCCATGTCTCACAACCACACAAAATTAAAAAGATATGAAAATAATGTTATTGCACAACTAATAAAATACTCACCTTTCCTAAAGAAGAGACTTCTACTGGGATATATATATGTATATAAAATTATATATATATATATACATTTATAAATGGGTTTATATATATAATTATGAAGGTCAGTGAAGGTCCTTACTAAGTAAAGGAAATCTGGTATTAATGTGCCTTCAGCAGCACCTGAGCAGTTGAGACTCAAAAGAGAAAATAGATGGCAGGGTAAGATGGCCTTTTTTCCTCATAGCAGAAGAAACAGAAAACAGTAAACAATTTCTTAAATATTCTGCAAAAGAAAAGGAGAGTAGCTTTCCCTCAACTGATTTCTAGTTATCCATTTCCATGATTGTCCATTAAATGGGAATAAAGTTCCCAGGAGCTAAGAATATCATTAGGTCACTAAAAAGCAACAGGTTTTAACCAACACCACAAATTGCCTCCCTATAACATGACATTATGTCCAGAAATGTCTGATTTCCTGAAAGTTTTAATGAATATTCCTAATCTTTAGCAACTTTTAAGTGTCCTAATTTTCACTTACATTGAAATTACACAATATAAAGAGTCAGAAAAGCATGGTGACTACAACTCCTGGCCCATTTTCTCATCTATAGATTCAACATCTCATTATAGCAAGAGAAAAAAATCAATTACTATTATCATGCAGTATAGGAACTGCCAAAGTATTTTTAATATCAAAAAAATCAAAGTGCTGTCTCTACTTAAACATGACCTTTCCAGAACAGTCTATGCTATTTAACTTAGAAGCAGGAAAGTATATCAGCCTAAATTAACCTTTTTGCAGTTTCCACTGCATGGTTTATAATCTAAAAGCAACTTTTAAAAACATAGGGGTGGCCGGCGCCATGGCTCAATAGGCTAATCCTCCACCTGAGGCGCCAGCCCCTGGGTTCTAATCCCCGTCGGGGCACCAGATTCTGTCCCGGTTGCCCCTCTTCCAGGCCAGCTCTCTGCTGTGGCCCGGGAGTGCAGTGGACCCTGCACCCCATGGGAGACCAGGAGAAGCACCTGGCTCCTGCCTTCCAATCAGCGCGGTGAGCCGGCCACAGCAGCCATTGTGGGGGTGAACCAACGGAAAAGGAAGACCTTTCTGTCTCTCTCTCTCACTGTCCACTCTGCCTGTCAAACACACACACACACACACACACACAAACAAACAAAAAAAATATAGGAGACTGGTGCTGTGGTGTAGCGGGACAAACCGCCACCTGCAGTCCCAGCATCCCATATGTGTGCTGGTTGGAGTCCTGGCTGTTCCACTTCCAATCAAGCTCTCTGTTATGGCCTGGGAAAGCAGTACAAGATGGCCCAAGTCCTTGGGCATGGGAGATCTGGAAGAAGCTCCTGGCTCCTGGCTTCGGATTGGTGCAGCTCTGGCTGTTGCAGCCAACTGGGGAGTGAACCAGCGGATGGAGGACCCTTTCTCTCCCTCTCCCTCCCTCCCTTCCTCTCTCTCTCTCTCTTTGTAACTGACTTTCAAATAAATAAATAAATCTTTAAAAATATATATAGGTCACTGCTTATATTAAAGTGACAAAATAGGGCCGGCATCGTAGCGCATTAGGTTAATCCTCCACCTGCAGCACCAGCACCCAGGTTATAGTCCTGGCTGCTCCACTTCTGATCCAGCTCTCTGCTATGGCCTGGATAGCAACAGAAGATGGCCCAAGTCCTTGGGCCCCTGCACCCGTGTGGGAGACCCAGAATAAGCTCCTAACTCTTAGCTTTGGATCAGCACAGCTCCAGTCGTTGCAGCCATTTGGAGAGTGAGCCAATAATGGAAGACCTTTCTCTCTGTCTCTCCCTCTCACTGTCAAATAAATAAAATCTTTAAAAAAAAGTGACAAAATATGAAATTAAACATTTCTTATCAATAGTATTCCTCTACTGGATCCTGTATCTACTGTCTGAGATGGAATTCCTAATCGCAGCTCAAGCTTTTAGTCAAATTGACAATTACAATGCAAATACTCAGGCTCCGGTTTCTCAAGAACAGGGGTGGGAAGCAATCTTCCTCTCTTTGTAATTTTGTGCATTCTGCAAGGAGCAAAGAAAATAAGTACAGAAAATTTCTCTAATTTTCTCTTGCAAAAAAGAAAATTGTCTCTTCAGTACTATTCTTATGCTCACCAGACACAATTTGCTTTGAGAACAAATATATAAAAATCAAGGTTAAGGGGAAAAAAGGATACCCAGAGGCTGTATCTAATTATTCAACAAAGTATCCACTTGAAAGTAATTACCAGCCAGCGCCGCGGCTCACTAGGCTAATCCTCCGCCTTGCGGCGCCGGCACACCGAGTTCTAGTCCTGGTCGGGGCGCCAGATTCTGTCCCGGTTGCCCCTCTTCCAGGCCAGCTCTCTGCTGTGGCCCGGGAATGCAGTGGAGGATGGCCCAAGTCTGCACCCCATGGGAGACCAGGATAAGTACCTGGCTCCTGCCATCGGATCAGCGTGGTGCGCTGGCTGCAGCGCACCAACCGTGGTGGCCATTGGAGGGTAAACCAACTGCAAAGGAAGACCTTTCTCTCTGTCTCTCTCTCTGTCCACTCTGTCAAAAAAAAAAAAAAAAAGAAAAAAAGAAAAAGAAAGTAATTACCACCTAACAAGGGTATGTTTCCTTTTGTGAAACAGAAAAAAATGAAATTTTAGAAATTAAAAAAGATTTTTCTATCAGCTTTCATTGTAATTTCAGGGTTGTAATTTTTTATATAAATTTCAATTGGCAATATCTCCTAATGTTAAAAAAAATCTATCAATCAATAAAGATGAATGATATGCGAGCACATAAATATATTTTCAGAATTTTTAGGAAAAGCATTTTGTGACAAAAAATATTCTCCATTTCTTTTTAATCTTTTGGTTTTCTTGCTTCTAATTGTTGTAGTTCATATACAGATCTTAAAAATATTAAAAGGGAATTTCAACAAATTTTCTAAAATGACAGTAACAAATCTTAAATTTAATAAAATAAGAATCTTTGAGTCCGTGTCAACACAAAAAAGAAGAAAGTACTTCTTTACAGAAGGACTCTGTAAATGAAGAAGGATTTTTCTTAAATCACCTTTGGCACCAACTTTAGTAGTTATTGTTTCAGACAAGAATCAGTAATAGATACTAAAATTAGAGGGTGAAACAATGATAAAAACCAGGGTATTTTCAAGTCTCAAAAAGTCTTCCCATAAAACAAATAATTAAAATGGAATAGTACTAACTTTATACTGGAGGAACCTGGCAGGTAACACAAAAAATGTTCAGTTTTCAACAATACAATAACAAATGGACCTACCTTCTGATCTGATACTGTATTAGTCAGTTTTTGATACTACAACTAAAATATCTGAGAAATGTTCCTTAGGAAGTAAGGAGGTTTATTTCAGCTTATAGCTTTTGTGGTTCCCAGTCAAAATCAGGAAGTGTAGTTCAACAAAAATTCAGTTACAAAAATAGTCAGTGAGCCATAATTTGAGGACCCCTTGTTTAATTTGTGTGCAGAAAAATTAACTGGAGCAATTATACCTGTATTTAACATTTTCTGAACACATACCAGACACTATGTTAAGCACTGTGGTGGCATTAACTCACACCAATCTGATTAGATAGACAATACTGTTACCTCCATTTTCCAGAGTACTCAGAGAAGTTAGAGAATTTGTCCAGGTCAAACAGAGGGCAAAAATGTCAAACCAGAAAGATCTGATTATGTACACTGAATTATAACAAATTTTCTATACTTTTTCTCACCAGGGTTGAATTATTATTACATGCAACAACTATGGAATTATAACCATATTGACAAAGGCTAAACAACTATCCAAGTTAAATATCTATGTTCCAAAAAAGCATTTTTCACAAACCTCCTGTAGCTGCAAGGACATAAGACCCAGTTGATCCTGACGCCTTTCCACCAGCTCTCTTTCTGTGCGCATCTCTCTTTCTATTTCCCGAAGCCTCCGCTCCACCCGATCTGAAACCTTAATCGGAATAAAGGAAAACAATGACATTATCCAGCCAGGAAAAGAGATATTTTAAGGAGATATTTTAAGCCAAATATGCCACTACCTAAAGCATTTAACACTGACTTATCTGTACAGACCTTTCTTATGAGACTTAAAACAGCTGACAGAAATTAGTTAAAAGTTAACAAAAGAAAGTAATCATTAGTCTCCAAATAATCCATTCCTGGGTCCCAATGATAGCCTCCAATTTTTAAAACCACAATATTATAATTTGATAGTTCAGAGATAAACATAATACACTAGCAAAAAATGCCATCTGGTGAGACAGCAGGAAAATAACAATTTTGTCAACAACTGTGCTTATTACCTAAAAAAAATGTTAAACTAGGGGAGCAGAGGGTGCTGTTGTAGCGCAGGAAGCTCCTGCTAATGAGTCCAGCACCCCATATCAGTCCACGAGTTTGAGTCTCAGCTGCTCCACTTCCAATCAGGTTTTCTGCTAATGTGCCTGAGAAGACAAGGGAATGATGGTCCAAGAACTTGGGCCTCTGCTACCCATGATTCAGGATGGAGGTCCTGAATCCGGGCTTCGGCCTGACCCAGTCATGGCTGCTGTGGCCATTTGGGAAGTAATCCAGTAGATGAAAATTTCCCTTTCTCTTTCATTCTACCTTTCAAATAAATAAATAAATCTTTTAAAAATGCTCTATCTACGTAATTATTTTTCATTTTTGTTATCCATGAACATTACCTGCCTAAGAAGATGTTGATATTGATGTCAAGCAAATAACTGAAAGGGCTTTTTATTAAATTATCTTTTCTACTTGATCTGCTAAAAATAAATAAGCTGTAAAAGATCAAAAACTAAAGTCAAACTGAAGAATGTTTAATTGACACCCTAAAATAAACATGAAAAATTCTGTCAAGATTTTCCTTACTAAAAGTTGTGCAAATTCAAACACATTTCATATATACATTATTATAACAACCCCTAAATATAATTTATACTATGCAACAATGTATATATTTGGAACAGAAGCACACAGAATAGAGAACATTTTGCATTCATTTAAAAGAAGCAATGAACCATAGCCCTGTTGTATAAGAATTTTTGCTACCAATTTCTGTGTTTGACAGTCAAGAAAGGTGCAGGTCAGGAGGGACCTTATTGGGAAATGTTCTAAACTAGATTATGGTGAAAGATGCAAAAATTTACTATAGAGTTTACTAGTAAATTTACTAAAAATCACTGAATTGTACATGTAAAACAGATGAATTTCACAGTAATTTATAGCTTAAATTATTTTTAGAAAGATTAAATAAACATGTTCAATTAGTCAATAAAGGATGAGCAAAAGCGGTCTATGAAAAATTTAGCTTACGGGGCCTGTTCTATGGTGTAGTAGGTGAAGCTTTTGCCTGCAGCACCAGCATCCCAGATGGGCACCCTGGCTGCTTCTGATCCAATCCAGCTCTCTGCTATGGGAAGGCAGTAGAGGACGGCCCAAGTGCTTGGGCTCCTGCACAGGAGTGGGAGACCTGGAGGAAGCTCCTGGCTCCTGGCTTCGGAACAGCCCACCTCTGGCAGTTGTGGCCCTATGAGGAGTGAACTAGTGGATGGTAGACCTTTCTCTCTGTCTCTCCCTCTCTGTCTGTAACTCTACCTCTCAAACAAAATCTTTCAAAAAAAATTTGTATTTACTAAGACTGGTAAGTCTTACATAGATATCCTCTAGTGCTTAAAATTAATAAAGATATTTACTATAATATCCAGTATTTTCTCAGAAACTTGAAATATTCTTTAAGCAACAAGCTCCTAATTCACCCTAGTAATCAACCTTAATTCCTTAGCTAACTTACTATTTGCATCAAAAAATGAATATAGCACCTGCTATCACAAAAAACAATATTGAATGCTAAGAAAAAGCCACCAATCCATTTCATTTTTTTAATATTTATTTATTCATTTGAAAGTCAGAGTTACAGAGAAGCAGAGACAGAGAGGGAGAGAGAGAGGTCTTCCATCTGCTGGTTCACTCCCCAAATGGCCAAAACAGCTGGAGCTACACTGATTCGAAGTCAGGAGCAAGGAGCTTCTTCTGGGTCTCCCATGTGATGTGGGGACCCAAGGACTTGGGCCATCTTGTACTGCCTTCCCAGGCCATAGCAGAGAGCTGGATTGGAAGTGGAACATCCAGGACTCGAACCAGAGCCCATGTAGTGTGCCAGCACTGTAGGCAGCGGCCTCACTCACTACGCCACAGTGTCAACCCCTCCATTTAATTTTTACCAAGTCAAAAATAACTTTCTAATGTCTACTATTATTATATATTATAATGTCTACTATTTTAAAAACAGAGTGGCAAGCATTTGGCAGAGCTGTTAAGACCTCTTGAGATGACCTCTTGAGTGCAAAGGTCTGAATCCCAACTCTGTTCCCAATTGCAGCTTCTTACTCATGTGCACCTTAGGAGGCAGCAGGTAATGGCTCAAGTTGTTGGGTCCCTGCCACCCACACGGGAGACCAACATTGAGTTCTAGTCTCCTGACTTCAGCCTGGACCAGTCTTGGTTGATGTGGGCATTTGGGGAATACACCAACAGATGGAAGATTTCCCTTTGTTTCTGTCTCTCTCTTTCAAATAAATAAAAAATTAATATAAATAAATAAGCAAAAATAACAAGCACTGGAGAGGATATGGAGAAACGAACCCTGGAGCACTGCTGATGTGTGGGGAGCAACCCAGACTGGACTAAGTTACTGGAATTAAGACTTATTCTATGCATCTGCTCTCCCACAATATGGCGCTGGGAGAGGGGAAAACAGCTTCTACGCAGCTGCCTCTTGCCAACTTGAGTGATGACCTCCAGGAGCTGATCCTGCTCCTGATTGGAGGAGAGCAGCGTACTCGGCGTGTGGGCAGCCGAGTTGGGATTGGCGGAGGAGGACTATAAAAGAGGAGAGAGACGGCATGCACCAGGAACATCTAAGAGGAACATCTATCTGAAGGAACACCTGTGCAGCCCCCGAGAGAGCCGGCCGGCGGTGTGCCGCTCCCCCGCGGAAGTGGGGAAAGTGGCAGGGGGAACCGCCCTTCCACGGAGCTGGAAGGGTCGGTAGCCAACCCGGGAAGAACCAGCAGCAAACCCGGGGAGGGCCGAGCAGACAAAAGAACAGCGCAGGGTCCCGTGTCGTTCCTCCATGAAGAGGGGGAGCGACATAATGGTGCCGTGACTCGGATATGAAGCCTAGGCAGGGTTTAGTGTCGTTCCTCCACGAAGACGGGGAGCAACACTGATGGAAATGGAAAATGGGGCAGCCACTACGGAAAACCATTTTTTTGTGGATGAGAACCAAGATCCACTCTCAGCAAATTTCTAGGACACAATGCAACATTATTAACTACAGTCACCAAGCCGTACATTAGATATCCTGAACTTATCTATCCTACATAACTGACTCTTCATTCCCTGTGACCTACATCTCTCCATTTTCCTCATCACCCAAACTCCCCCTGCCCAGAAACCACCTTTCTATTCTTTTATGAGACCTTTTTTTTAGATATCACATGTAAGTGAAATCATGCAGTATGTATCTTTTTGCCCTTGTCTCTTTCACTTAGCATCATGTCCTCCAGGTTCATCCATGTTGTTACAGGTGACTGGATTTCCTTCTTAAGGCTGAATAACAGTCTACAGCATATGGATGTACTTTAAAAAGTTCAGGGAAAGATAAAGTTAAAATATGTTTAGTTTTATGCAAAAAGAACATTTTTTAAATCCATGGTTCTTTTGGGGCTGGCGCTGTGGCATAGCAGGTAAAGTGCTGGTATCCCATATGGGTGTTGGTCTGCATCCCGGCTGCAACACTTCCGATCCAGCTCTCTGCTATGGCCTGGGAAAGCAATAGAAAATGTCCCAAGAACTTGGGCCCCTGCATCCACGTGGGAGACCCGGAAGAAGCTCCAGGCTCCTGGCTTCGGATTGGCACAGCTCCAACCATTGCAACCAGTTGGGGAGTGAACCAGTGGAGAAAGACCTCTATCTCTCTGCCTATCCTCTCTGTGTAACTCTTTCACATAAAATAAATAAATATCTTTTTACAAATCCATGGTTTTTTTCATAATAGGCATTTTCCAGGAACTTCTGCAGACTCCTCATATTTCTACAATTTCTTTTAAACTTTTAGGGGTCAACAAATGCAGATACTGCTTTCATTTTGAGATACTGATTTCATTTCCTTTGAACATGTGTACACCCAGAAGTGGGATTGCTGGATCATAAATTAGTTCCATTTTTAATTTTGATAGAAATGTTTGCGTTATGCAGCTTCTGACACAGGTTCCAATGATCCCCACTTTCTGGTACTCATGTACTTTCTATATACCCTACCTTTGAATGCTGGATGGCGCTAGAAATTTCTGATAAAGAGAAATCAAAGCAAAAGTAACAGGATTAGGTTACAAGAATGACTCCAACTTGCTAGCATTTGCTCATTTGCATGATCTGATAAAGCATACTATCATGGTTTCAGATTCTCCACAGAGATATCATTTGTCAAAGAAAAGGAGAGGTCTCTGAACAACAGGTCATGACAAACTGATTCTTCAAGTCCAATGACACATAAAGGAATGGATCCTAACCACAATCGCATGATGATTCAGGGAGCAGATCCAATTCAGTAGGTCCAGGGGAAGACTACAGTGAGAAAACCATGGCCACCGGTGCCCACTAAGCCACATCTGGACTCCTAATCCCCTGCAAGTGCCAGATAATAACCGGTGTTTTAAGCTAGCAAGTTTGGGTAAACACACTGCAAAGCGACAGATAACTAATACAATGTTTTTACCCATTTTCAAATAAACACTAATCCAAAGAATAAGCTGGAGAGTCTGATAAAGAAATAACGTGTATTTTCTCCACTGCATCCAAAAAATTTCCAACTATTCCATAGAAATTTATCCTTCAACTCAAAACACTACAATTTACATGAGTAATAGGAATCTCTATAATTCA